GATATATTAGGGATACGCTGATAGACGCGGTTTTCAAATGCTCCCGTGTGTATCTGTGTGAGCGCTAGGTGAAGAGCGTGAAGCAATGATCATTGTAGCCAATCACAGACACATCTGTTGAGCTCGTGAACACAATGGCCAATCAGAGGTGTTTAAGAATCTGCTCAACAGCGCTCAAAATGTTAGTGGGAAATGCTGGTATCGTCACATTTTTAAAATTTCAGTACCAACTGGTACCGACGTCGGGACTTTTGACAACACTAATTGTTATTGGAATCAGTATTATTTTAGTATTACCGCTTTACTATAGTTTTCATAAATGTTTTTATGAATTAGTTGTTGTTTTCATGTTTTCAGTCTGTATTTTTATTTTAAAGTTTGTCCTTTTTTTTCCACATTATTTTTAAATGTCTAATTTTTTTTTTTATCCAGAAAATGTAGTTGGTGTAGTACATCAAGTGAACTAAATGAAAATGAGAAAGGCTATTTAATTTATAATTATGAAAATACCAGAGATTGCTTGACGAACACACATAAGCCATATATTGTCACAGTCGAGAGTTTGTCTTCATGTTTCATCATTCAAAACGTTTCTATTTTCCTTTTATTCAGTTACAGCGATAGCCGGATGCTTTTGTCCATATGAGGGATTTCCTGGAGCGTCATGAGTTCTATTACTTCTGTGATGCATATGTGGAGTTTCTGCATTCGAAGTAATCAAAAAATGTATTTTTATGGTTTTAGTTTGTGTTTTTTCTTATTTTTATTTCAGTTGAACTTATTTTAGCGCATCAAGTTAAACTAAACTAAAAGGAGAAATGTAGCTTCGAAAATTTAGTTCGTTTTTTATTTCCGCTAATGTTTATTTTTTTATTTTTTATTTTTTTAACTTTTAGTTATTTTAGTACATCAAGTTAAACTAAATGAAAACAGGAAGCAGGAAGTGCCTCATGATGGTCCCATGTGTGATCTTTTGTGGTCTGATCCTGAAGGTAATTCTAGATTACAACTGAGAAGTTGTTCATCATCAGCATCTCATTATATGACTGCATGGCTCTCTGATTCAGACACCACAGGATGGGGCGTCAGCCCGAGAGGTGCTGGATATCTGTTTGGCAGTGACGTCGTGGCCCAGTTCAACGCCGCCAACGACATCGACATGATCTGCAGGGCACATCAGCTTGTCATGGAAGGTTACAAGTGGCACTTCAACGAGACTGTTCTCACTGTGTGGTCTGCTCCCAATTACTGCTACAGGTGCGTTTTTGTCTCGCAGTTCTCAATATATTATTGAACCGTTCGGTACGACATCAATACGCGCTTGTGAATTGCAAACGTTGCAATCATTTCCGTGCGTTTTATTTCTCCGAATTGACTCTGTATGTCTGTGAGTCTACGTGCTGAGATGTACACCTCCCCGCTATAACGTGCATTTAAAAAAGCAATACACGTCAAACATCTCGCAATGAGAAGCGTTTCTAAATCTGTTGTCCAACAAAAGAGAACATTATGACATGTTTTACTCCACAACATCAGTCAGATGCATCCTTTTGTGATCTGATGTTGCTTCTTATCGCAGAATGAGGCAGAAAATATATATTCTATACTGTAATAAAGCCTGTCGATTAGCAATGGATTGTAAATATACATAATTATGAAAATACCAGAGATTGCTTGACGAACACACATAAGCCATATATTGTCACAGTCGAGAGTTTGTCTTCATGTTTCATCATTCAAAACGTTTCTATTTTCCTTTTATTCAGTTACAGCGATAGCCGGATGCTTTTGTCCATATGAGGGATTTCCTGGAGCGTCATGAGTTCTATTACTTCTGTGATGCATATGTGGAGTTTCTGCCTGAGGGCGCACTCCAGCTTCCAGTATGAATGAAACCTACATTACATGTGTTTATAGCGCTCAGTGGCCAATCCCTCCAATTTTGGGCAAAAATATGAAAAATAATACTTCTTTCAAAATAAATTTAAAGTAGACAAATGATAATCCATGTCTTTCTCCAGTCTACAGAAGTGTACAGGAGGTTTTTTTGTTGTTGTACTCATCCGTCTACGAGTAGATATATTAGGGATTGACGCGGTTTTCAAATGCTCCCGTGTGTATCTGTGTGAGCGCTAGGTGAAGAGCGTGAAGCAATGATCATTGTAGCCAATCACAGACACATCTGTTGAGCTCGTGAACACAATGGCCAATCCAGAGGTGTTTAAGAATCTGCTCAACAGCGCTCAAAATGTTAGTGGGAAATGCTGGTATCGTCACATTTTTTAAATTTCAGTACCAACTGGTACCGACGTCGGGACTTTTGACAACACTAATTGTTATTGGAATCCGTATTATTTTAGTATTACCGCTTTACTATAGTTTTCATAAATGTTTTAAATTTAAAGTAGACAAATGATAATCCATGTCTTTCTCCAGTCTACAGAAGTGTACAGGAGTTTTTTTTGTTGTTGTACTCATTCGTCTACGAGTAGATATATTAGGGATCGACGCGGTTTTCAAATGCTCCCGTGTGTATCTGTGTGAGCGCTAGGTGAAGAGCGTGAAGCAATGATCATTGTAGCCAATCACAGACACATCTGTTGAGCTCGTGAACACAATGGCCAATCCAGAGGTGTTTAAGAATCTGCTCAACAGCGCTCAAAATGTTAGTGGGAAATGCTGGTATCGTCACATTTTTTAAATTTCAGTACCAACTGGTACCGACGTCGGGACTTTTGACAACACTAATTGTTATTGGAATCCGTATTATTTTAGTATTACCGCTTTACTATAGTTTTCATAAATGTTTTTATGAATTAGTTGTTGTTTTCATGTTTTCAGTCTGTATTTTTATTTTAAAGTTTGTCCTTTTTTTTCCACATTATTTTTAAATGTCTACTTTTTTTTTTTATCCAGAAAATGTAGTTGGTGTAGTACATCAAGTGAACTAAATGAAAATGAGAAAGGCTATTTAATTTCAACATTGTTTCAGTTATTTTATTCGAAGTAATGAAAAAATGTTGTATTTTTATGGTTTTAGTTTTTGTGTTTTTTCTTATTTTTATTTCAGTTGAACTTATTTTAGCGCATCAAGTTAAACTAAACTAAAAGGAGAAATGTAGCTTCGAAAATTTAGTTCGTTTTTTATTTCCGCTAATGTTTATTTTTTTATTTTTTATTTTTTTAACTTTTAGTTATTTTAGTACATCAAGTTAAACTAAATGAAAATTAGAAATTAAAATAGGTGAAATAAAGTACTTATATTGTATTTCAGGTAACGTTTAGTTTATTTCAAGTAATGAAAATGTTTCTTTTAATTTTTTCAGTTTTAGTACATCAAGTTAAACTAAATGAAACTGAGAAGTGTTGCCTTAGCAAACAGCTGAAATTACTTCTCTGAAAAAGTTTAAAGTAAAATAAGCTTTATGGTTTTGTGTTTAACTATAATAACCCTGATTGGAATTCGTTTTTCGAATTATTCGTTTTTTGTATTATTCAGGGTTGCAGACTGTAACTAAAATAGTAACAAAGATGACAAATAAAAACCACAAACAACGGTCATTTTAAATCTAGTCAGTATTTGCACCAGTCTGGAAAACTTTGTGTGCGTTCACCTGCGCTTTTGTTAATTGCATCTTTATAGTGGATGTGAGAGTTTCCTACACACACAACAAACACAGCGTGAGCAACAAATGAACCGGCTCTTGTGAGTCAGTGGTTTGAATCAGACTCAATCACTCACAACTGACTTTTTTTTTTTTTTTTTTTTTTTTTTTTTTTTTTTTTTTAATTTTTTTTAATTCAAGATTTATACTATTAATAAGAAAACAAAATGCTTACCTATCCACTTTTCTTTGTCATAGATGTGGTAATGTGGCGGCAATCTTGGAGCTTGACGAGCACCTGCAGAAAGAGTTCATCATATTCGAAGCTGCTCCACAAGAAACGAGAGGCATTCCCTCCAAAAAGCCAGTCGCTGACTACTTCCTGTGAGCTTCCTGCATCCTTAGGATGCAAGCGCTCTCAACAGGAAGTGGTGCTCTGTGTGTACTTGTATTTCTGTTTCCCTCTCCCTGCCCAACTGTCTTAATTGTGCTTTTTTTTTAATTTCTATTTTCCATCCACTTTCACATTCTCTTTGCCATCAAGACACACATTGGCATTATATTCTCATCCACTGCTGTGAAATCTCTCGCTCTCAGACTCATCGTATGCTGTAGATGTAGACGTTTATTATGTATGTGAATAGCAGTAGGGACAGTAGAAGAGTGAGACCGCTGGTTTCACATGGCATTTCTCCTGGTACTCAGAAAGCTGCATCTTGAAATGGCAGGTTGTTGGACATTTTATTTTCATTTTCTTTCTTTACACTCTCTTCTCGTGTAAATGTGTTCGAGAATGGATATGCTTTGATTCTAGTTTACAGTCTACTGTTTTCACCGGGGTCATCATAGTTTCACAGCTTTTGAGTTTTGTGCAGGAAACCACTGCAGATGCTGAGCGCCCAACTCTGTGGAAATATATGGACATTAACTACACTGGAAAACATCAACACGACACACACAAACCAAACTGGAGTTAGAAAATGTGCTTTTCCCTCTCGACTGTTCTCTCTATAGGACTTATTGTTGATTTTTATTTTTAATTTGTGAAAATAAAATGTACTTTTGTATGAATTTAAGTTGTGAATTTCTGGTTTTCTTCATCAGTTTGTCAGATATTGTGTGCCTGTTCGACTCATCCATGTTATTTGATCCACTCTATTTAGAAAATATATTTCTAATTAAATATTGGGAGTGTGTAAATATAAACATTAAAAAACTTTAGGACACAACTTCAGCAAGAGTCCCTTTTTCAATCAATTTTCATAAAATCACAAATTATTTTTCAACTTAATGTGCAAATTCAGTTTATAGATTTACCAAAATATATATGCAAGGCTACAAATTAGGCAAATGTGAACGGCCACTCGTTTATATATATGTATATACATTATTATTTAATAATATACATATATAATTTTAAGTAAATATAATTTAAAATATGTATATTTTATACATATTTGAGAAATTAATGCTTTTATTCAGCAAGGATGCATTAAGTTGATCAAAGGTGAAAGATACTACAGATTTCTATTTTTTATTAATTTTTTTTACTTTCTATTGCTCAAAATGCACCGTTTACCGTTTTTAATTAAAAAAAAAACATCTTAAAATATTAAGCAGCGTGACTGTTTTCAACATTGAGAGTAAGAAATGTTTCTTGAGCAACAAACAGCATACTAAAATTATTAAGTAATCAAAACATTCGAGGAATACTTTACACCCAAATATTTCTTTACTCACCATTTTGCTCCAAATCTTCCTTCTGTGGAACCATAGACTGTATAAAGTGTGGAACACAAAATAAGATGCGGGGTATTTTCTGTAGTTCCGCTCCAGGCCAGCGGGTGGCGGTAGACCATGGCCGCTGAAGCTTTGGCGCGCCTCCATCCAAGTATCTCTCTCTCCCTCTCTCTCTGGAAGTAGCCGACAAGGCTTTGACGCACGCCGTGAGTTGTGCTCACAAAATTGCAAATGTGGATCTAAAATCTGCACGAAGGGAATTCACAAACAGAGATCTTACGTTTCCAGCAGATAACGGGTATGTTCCGCATGTGTCATGTACGGGAGTTTTCGGTTATATGGCACTTGCATACACATGCAGTTTTGGTGTCGTTAGGCCTGAACCAGCCGGTCGCGGCACGTTTTCGCTGAAGATCACTGATGTAAATAAGATGTAATAACACAGTAGTTATCTACTATGCGTCACTTGTATTTCCATACACAGCAAATGGCTTATTGATTTGCCTATAGTTTATTTCCATTGAGGCCCCGATCATTGGCCTTTTAGCAGTGAAGTGATGATAGTCAGTCATTCAAACTAGCAACCAGAGTTGCCAGCAGAATAAATGTTATTTAAAGCGTCACTAGATTAGAGCTTTTAATAACTAAAGTGGGGGTTTTTTACGTTCTGAGTAATTTACCGTTTAACGTCATTAACCCATGTGAGACCTTTTGGACATTTTTGTCCTTTTCAGTTTTTTGTTTTTTTTATCATTTTGCCTGTGTTATTGCCAACTGCATAAATGTTGGCACAGGTGTGTATTTTTATTGGAATTTTACTATTTCACTTACATTTCCTTTAATAAATCTGTTTTGCACTAGGTACAAAAAATTGTTCCTCTCAGGACCTTAAGGACAAAAATGTCCCCATTGAAACCCATTAAAACTGCTATTTTTAATCGCAGTGCCATTTAACTGTAAAATTATGCAATTTTTGTTAATAGGCTTTCATTCTGTTGGCAAGGCTTTAAAATTTTATTTTTTAC